TACTCTCTCTCTCTCTCTCTCTCTCTCTCTCTCTCTCTCTCTCTCTCTCTCTCTCTCTCTCTCTCTCTCTCTCTCTCTCTCTCTCTCTCTCTCTCTCTCTCTCTCTCTCTTTAGTTCTTCTCTTCTCTTTGATTCTTCTCTTCTTGTCCTTCTCTTCTGAATTTTAGGCAAGGTAGCCTATAGAGACAGGCAGGTAGGTAGGTAGGTAGGCAGGTAGGCAGGTTTGCCTATAGCCGGCTTTTTTTAAGATAGTAATGAATTCGGCTTAGCGGCTCTATAGCAAGGAACGCGCTAATTAGAGCGTACGCTTTCGAGCTAGTTTGATTAACCTATATACCTCCTTATACGAATTGGTTAGTACTCTACTCCCCCCTATACCTAACCTACGCTACGCTTCGGAAGGTTTAGAGGTCGTTCCGTACCAATTATCTATATATAGCTACTATGTTAGTAATGCCGTAGTGTCGACGTAGTATATAGTTCTACCTGTAATTCGTAATAGTACATGTTCTAAGAAGTCCTATATTAATATAGTAAGAGTTTTTAACGTAGTACTAGTATGCTACGGGTTTTCTAATATAGTGTTTATATGCTTTAAAAGTTTTGATACGCGAACTCTAATCTAATATACTAGGTAAAATATACTATATAACTACCTTAGGTATAGGTATATAAGAGGTATACTAACCTCGCTTGATCTTTACCTTAGGGTCTATTATAGGCAATACAGACGATAAAAGGTACTAGGTACAATACGACAGTTCTATTCTAGACTAATCCTATAGTACCTAGTATACAACGATAGTATACGCGTCTACTACCTGCCCGCCTAATATAGGGTATCTAACTCTCTTGTCTATATTATGCCTTATAGGTACCTGCGATACTTAGTATCTCCTACTAAGTCGTAGAAGAGGCGAACGAGTTGCCGATAGTAGTAATATTGCTATTACCCTTATAGTCCTCGTCGTACTCGTTGTACTCGTTAGTCTCGTTATAGATCGGCGCTATAAAGTTAGCTATATTAAATAATTAAACTAGTAGAGATTAGATCCGGTAGCAAAGTAGGTAGTATTAGGCCTCGTTATAGGTTAGGTTAGGTATAGGTTAGGTACAACCTAACTTAAATACCCAACCCTACAAATAAGCTAGGTACCTAGCTTATAAGCGGGGTACAACCTAACGGTAAAAACCTAGTAGGTATACCTAATAGGTATTGCGATAGGTATTACATAATACGAGTTGAATACCTACAAAATAGTAGAAAATAATATTAATAAGGCATTTATACCTACTACCTAATTCCTAGAGCGTAGAATCTAATAGGAATATATTCTATATTTACTGCAGCTGCCGACTATATATACCGACTATATATACTAATCAAAAAGAGATCACCGGAATATTAAGGAAAGCTCTAACCAATTGATTATAGTTATAAGCTACTATATACTAAGGATAGAAACTACCTTAGTTCTTAGTAAGTAGCTAAGTATCTAGAGTAGCTTGCTCCTTTGCTTACTGCTTTAAGGCCTCTACCTTAGCGTCTTATATCTTTTGATAAGCGTAATTGCGCAAAGTTAATCCTTAAAGTTCAGCCGCTGCTAACGATAATACTAACGCGTAATTTTCTTTACGTCTCCCTCGAGAGTTTCCTAAGCAAGGCGTAAGCTATCTTCTAAACGCTCTTTCGTAATAGTAAGCGCGTAAGCTGCCGCTACTAGCTTATTAGTATAGGCTTCTAGCCTCTGCTTAAGAGTTTGCTTATTATCGCTAGAATTATTATCTAGCTCTTCTTGATTATAACTAGGCTGCTTAGAATACGTAAATCGCGTAGGCTAACGTAAAAACGTAGGATAATAGGAAAATATAGGAGGATAGGCGTTAGAATTAGGATTTGTTTATTTAAGAAAAAGGGAAGTTGTTTTATTTATCCTATTTTATTCTAATTATTCAGTTATTTAGGCCTATATTAAAAGGTGCGTAGGCCGACTAAAAACACCCGCCCTAAGGTATCTTTGCTAAACAAAAGGATACTAACGAAAAACTACCGGAATTCCGAATCTATTAGATTACCTACTCCTAAGAGCGACGAGGGCTAATTACAAAAGTAGGAGAAGTTCTACCCGTAGTATACGACTATAAAGCGATAGCCTACGCTATTATAGTACTTAACTCTAGAGCAATAGGCCGAGCTAAAAGGCTAGAGGGCTTAACTAAACGTAAGGCCTTTACGGCTTTTAATACCGACTTTAGGCCCTTATAAGCCTTTATTCTAGGAGAAAGTTAGCTAGCCGAAGAAAAGGGACAGAGGCCGTCTAAAAAGGGGCGGAGCCCTATTACTTACTTAATAGCGTTAGAGGCTCGAGTCTAGTAGGCGTAGGCGGCGTAGGCGAGGAGCGGTCTATAATACTATTAATTTAGCCTCTATAGGTTTTTAGCTAGAGAGGAACCCGATTATTCTCGGCTAGAGGACGAGATACTTATATTTCTTAGTATTTTTCGTATTTGTCTTTATAGACAATATAGGCGTTAGTACGGGGCTATTAAAAGTTAGTATAGCCCTACGAAAAAGGGGTAGAGAGCGATACTTCTAGTTAGTCGATATAGTCGATACTAGCTATAGTATAGTAAATATAGTAGTCTTCTCGAACTACTATAATCCGGTTAGAAAAGGGCGGAAACCGACGGAAAGGAGACTTACTATTAGGAGAAAAGGGGTAGGCGGTAGTAGTAGTAGTAGTAGAGGAGGAGGAGGAGGAAAGGTAGCGGTAGAAAGTAGGAGGCCTACAAGATAGTAGGTTAAAGAAGAAGAGAGGGTTTTTAATAAAGAAAAGCGCTCTCCTATAGTAGGAAGAATAATAAAGGCTTAATCCGGCTATAATAATAGGAAAAGTAAAGCTACGCGACGGAGACCTCTAATTAGCTAGATTCGGAGGATATTAGCCTAAGGCCGTAAGAAAGTAAGTAGTTTTCTAAGTAAATAAGGAACTAAGAAAGCTACTGTTTTTTATACGTACTCCTATTGCGATCGTAAAGAGGAGGAGGTACGTCTAAGAGATAACGCAAGTTTGTTTTTATACGTACTCTAAGTATTTTTAGCCGGAGGGCAGGAGAAGAGAGGTATTATAAGGGGCGAGCCCTAGAATAGTGCCCTAGAAGATCTAGGGCATTATATATAACTACTAGTTACTTAGTATAGCATACTGCTGCCTCTAAGCAGAGCTACCGTACTCCGTCCTTTTTCCTTTATAGATCGGCTAGAATAGCTAGCCTTCCTTCTTTATCGTACTTACTATATAAATACTATAAGGTTCCTATATATACATTACTCTCCTGTAATAAGGACAAAGAGGAGGACAAGGAGAAGGATAGGGAGGTAGATAAGAAGGAGGAGATGCCTAGGAAGAAGAGAGGTACCTAGAAAGAAGTAGAAGAGAGAGATAGTAAAGAGAGAGACAGCGATAGAGATAGAGATACCTCCTAGAATACACGCATATACGCACGCGCGTATGCGCGCGTATGAAATTGAGGTTAGCACGCATTCCGTACTACCAACGGGCAGGCCCGTAGGACATATTAGGACTTTCTACATTCGGCGTTTCTGCGTTCGGATTTAGTTATGGCCTCAACCCAGATCCAGAGCTCCGTCGTTCCCCAACTTCGGTGCGCCCCGAACACCAAACAACAAACATACGAGCTCTACTCTAATCTTTATCGCTCGCTGTCAGACTTTTACCAACAAAGGACGAGTAATCCGCCGTGCGTTTTTGGATGTTGATCTTGATGTTGGTTTTGTTTGTTTGGTGTTGGCGGCGGCAACAAAGGATAGGATATTGGACAGTTAGTAGACCTACCAGAAGCGCCGGAGGTAGCTCCCAGGCAAAACATCTATCTTCAAAAGTGGGCGATCTAAAAAAAAATTTCGCGCTCAATGTGGTTCGTATGGTTCACAGGCTCCAAAAAGTTCGTCGCCAAAAACAAGTTCTCGACGGCGGGTTTTAGACATGGGCGAACGGAGTTGCCTGCCGGGACGGGAGGTAAAAGGACGGTCAATCAACTACTCGCGAACACGCGCGCGCTATTTGGAGTTTCATGCATTGATTGCATCGGCAGGCAGAACTTCGCAGAAAGATATCAATAGATAGGTAGGTAGCATCACAATTGCTAGATAGGTAGGTGGGTAGTACAGCATTTAAAGGTCCATGGACAGCCAGGCGATGGCTCCTAACGTCCTACCGACTGACTCGTCTCCAGCTCCTCGCCTCAACTACAGTTCTTTTCGCAGCGCCCGAAGATGAATTTCTTCGAAAGAAAATCCGAATCTTCCTCATCCAGGACAGCGAGCGGCAGTCGATCATCCACGAGCACAACACCTCTTTCAAGCCGAGAACGGTCTGCGAGAGCTACAGGCGCAGCATCCTCGGACAGGACAACATCTGGATCTACTGCGGCACCCAGATCCGCACTCTATACACTGGAGAACAAAGTCCGTCTTGGTGAGATCAGGAGGCTCCAAGATCTCGCTTTGGCGTCGCTACCGGTTCGCGGTTTGTTTATTGTGCTTTGGATCCGGTCCGACCCTCCTGGGCCAAATGACTTTCATTGGGGGCTGTACTTTCACCGATCAGGAACGGATGGTGGTACCAAATATCACATCACGAACCTCTCAAGAGGCTGGATTAACGACCACGGATCTACGAAAGGAGTCTTCAAATCAAGCTTTCTATGTGTGCTGATCCAGATCGCCACAATTCCCTTACAGGCAGTGGTCCAGATGGATGGAATTGCAAGATCGAAAGACCGCGAGTTAAACCAGATTCCTGGACTAACTTGTCGGGTGTGGGTAATGCAGATTATAGCTATACTCAGGGCGAACAGTCTGGTCAAATGTGGCGATATAAATGCGTTACAAAACGAAATCTTTCAGATTGGGAACCGTTATCGCTTCGGTGCTATCAACAACGATCAGCCACGACCAGTCACACGATCCCAATTGTGCCAGCTATAAGCAGCTCCGGGGGCCTGGGCGGCCATTTGTCCTTACCAATTGTATTTAGCAATCGTGCTTTGTTTACCCAATCTAGAAGGCGATGTATGAATCCACTGTTAAGTTGTTCAGAGCACGGTCGCATTCCACTTGTTTCTGGTATTGGTCGCCCCCAAGGTAGGTGGCGACCTGGTACCACCAACTGTTCCTCCCCCATCTCATCGCAGTACTATGCTCCCAATACTCTGGATACCAGCCTCCAGATTCCCAGTCCAGGAAGCCTGTGAGTTGGTTGTCGTCTCCCACGAGAATGTTGTGTGCTTTGAGATCTCCTTGCGTAAAAGTGATGCGATGTTCAAAACTGCGAATCTCATTCGCCAATTGTAGGGTCGTTTCGAAGGCTTCCTTCGAGGGAAAGGCGTGCGAGGACTGAGGCTCAAACAAGAAGTCGTGCATCTCCGCCTCTGTCTCAAAGGGACCCATCTTGTGGAAAGGCACCCTCGTGCTCCAGATAGTCGTACCCAGAGCTGAGCAGATACGCTTCCCATAGGGTGACTTCCACTTCCGCATAGCGATCAAGCAGGAGTGCAATTGCGACAGCCACGGCTGCTCAATCTCGGGGTGCAATGGCTCATTATCATTGTTGAGACAAATCCCGGGCAACCTGGTCATGAGAATCGAAAAACGGCGAACATGGTTCGGGTGGTCTCCGCATGTCAAGACCAAAGGAACAGGCATTCCAGCGGCGCGAGCCATTTTCATCGCGGCGACCTCCTCGATGCTGGCACGATCCGACCATTTGAGAACAAGACCAAAGGGAAGCTGCAATATGTCCCGGTCGAAAGGGATGTCGAACCAAGCGCAATACTTTTCCGAGAACGGGTATAGCAGTTCATGAAGGGGAGCAATCATTCGGCGGAGGAATTTGCCTGGTAGGTAGGGTAGAGGCGGAGTTGACTCGCTGATACGGGGCTGAATGGGTCGCGGCCATGTGAATTCGGGTCTGAAGATGGACAGTAGGCCGCCCATGCTTGGCAACCGGCAAAGTTCGCGACGATGAGATAGGCAAGTGTCGGAATGATGGAGATGGGAAGACGCGAATTTTGCGATGGAAGGATGGAGATGGGGAGACAGACGCCCGCGGTAACAAGGAAGGCACAGCGCCAAGAGGTATCATCTAAGCGAGCACTATTGCCTAAGGCTACCTTATATCTTCTATTCAATTCGCTTCATTTCGAAAGATATAGCCGCCGACAGGGTAGTTCTCAATCAATCAAAGTATCAAACCTGCGGTGTTTAGACTATATAATATGTCCTACGGGCCTGCCCGTTGGTGGTACGGAATGTGTACCAATCTCAATTTTCGCGCGCGCACAGCGCGCGCATATCTACCTCTATCTCTATCTCCTCGTCCTCGTCCTCGTCCTCGTCCTCGTCCTCGTCCTCGTCCTCGTCCTCGTCCTCGTCCTCGTCCTCGTCCTCGTCCTCGTCCTCGTCCTGTG